CCATGACTTGATACTTTTGATTTTTTAAAAGTTGATAATCCTATGGCAAAAGATTTTATAAATTGTTTATCAAAGCTACATACAATAATAAAGGCATAAATAAAGTAAACTTAAGAACGACAAAAAATTAATGCAAATGTCTATTATAAGGAACAACTACAATTCAACATAAGTGACAAGGTATAGTTACTTTGTTGCAATATCAAAACTACCTGTCTTTGTGATAAGTTGGACTATTGTAGGCTTGGACCTTTTTTTATTAATGAACAACCAGCAGATTGAACTTAAGAGCTTTTATTTGTGGACTTATCAAACAAGACATTACGATTGTCACAACCTTCAAGACGACAAAATTGAGATGAAGATCCTCAAGAACGACATGTCCTTCCTCAAATAGATGGCAAAATATAAGGTTTTTGGTATCATGACCTTAAAAGAGACTCCCAATGTTTGATGATTTTATTAGGAATAGGAATAACTTCTGATGGTGATCCAAATGTTTTATTTGAAAGAAGTTGTGAAGGCCTCAATAATGACCAAATAATAAGGTGGTCTTTTTGCCATGATATGAGACACTATTAATGGCTGAAAAGACCTATCAACCTTCATCAAAGAGAGCAAAGATCAAAGTATGTGGTAAATACAATTCATCATATCTTTGATTTCTTCAACAAATGAAGTTTGCTCCTCGTAGAATTCATCCCTAGAAAAGAAGATAATATCATGGATATACATAGATATTCTAATAAATATCTATATGATTAGATAGAAGTAGGTAAAAATAGATAAAAGTAAGGTTAATTTTATAATATCTTTTAGAGAAGCTTCCTAAAAGCTTTATAGATGTTGCTTTGACTTTACATATGTTTGTAGTTGATTAATAGGTTAGAAACTTGGCCAATAAGATAATTATATATTGATAGCTTAGTGAACAAGGTAACTATGTGGCGCACATATAGAAAACTTATCTTACAAGTTAAGATATATGTCTTACAAAGTCAATACATTTTGGAAGTCTTATTGGACATTGCCATGTAACTTCTAATTAAGAGTATATATGGAAGAAAGAGTGAAGCCTTTTTTACTCTTATAAATACCTTTCTAGTCTTTAGTCTTATTTCAAGACTTTTTAGTTTTTTAGTTTTTGACAATAGCCATTCTAGTTCAATATTATATCATCTTTGAGTGACTTTTTAGTTCTTTTTAGTGACACAAGAGTATATTGAGGATTTTCTTTCTTCAAGATTCATATCCTTGACAAAAAGAAACATTTAAAATCTCAAGCAATGAAGTATCAACATATTGGATGGAAGAAATTCCTAACAAATGTTTGAGCATTAATCTTGAGTTTTCAAAAAAATCTAGTTTTTTGTAGTCAAGAGCATTGAATTATGCTGAGAAAAGAAAATTTATTAGAAATGATTTAAAATATGTTGGCAATAATATCCAAAAAATTACTAGTATTTAATAATATAATATTTAATAATATTTAAAAAATTACTAGATTGGATGAACTAGTAGATGGATTATTGGTACATGTTCATATTGCAAGGAATTAACATGAAGCATTAATAGGAAAAAAATAAAAGAAAGATGAAAATAATGAAAAGCCATTAAAAAAAACTAAAAGGAGAGAAAAAAACAAGAAAAAAAAAGAATCCTATGCATGTAGAAGAAATAAAAAATATTTCTAAAAAAAATTATGAGGAAAAAAAAAAACAAAACAAAATAAAATAAAACAAAGATTCTTGCTTATAAATTAAAATTAGATATTGGAATTGCTACAATTTTGAAGAAAATATTAGAAGAATAGATTTTAGATAGAAAGGTTGAATTTATAATTGATAAAATTCTAAGGATTATAAAACATGAATTTCATGAAATTATTATTGATACAATAAAGAAAAAAAGATAATCTATAGGAGATATATGACATCAAATGAATAAAGAGCAAATGCAATGAAAAGTAATATAGATGAAGAAGATGAAATGTAAAATTTTGGAGATGTTTTACAAGTTAGATTTATAAAAAAAAGAAGAAGATGTAATTTAAGCCTCTATTCATTATTCTTAAAATCATTAGACAAAGACTATTACAAATGTTTTAGTAAAATTAAGAAAATTAGAAGAACCAATTGTAATATTAATTTATTATGGTTTTGAAATGAATTTGACATCAAAAGAGTTATATGAAAAGAAAAAATGACCTATTGATATTAAACATGGATGGATGATAAGATCAAAAAATAATTCAAAAGAAGATTTATATGGAGTTTGCCTAAATATCAAAGTGACAATATGATATGTTATTTATGGAAAAAATTCTTTGTCTAAAATATGTCTATATATCCTATTATATTAGAACAACCATATATTATTGCCACATGAATAGAAAAAAATGTTATAGATGATGGTTTAGCCTATGCAAGGATAAGAAATTAAGATAAGAAGAGGGTAGTGTAATTTTTAGTGATTTGTGATAATCATGAAAGAAATTGGAGTAATTTGAGGGAGCATTTTTTGCCAAGGATATACAAAGAATTTAAAGTTCTTAAAAATTCAAAAGATTTTCACTATAAGCTATTATAAAGCAAGGTTGCAATGGTAGAAGGAATGATGGCTTTTCACCTAGTAGAAAAAATGATGCCATTATTGGATTATCATAGGATGGATATATTTTATTTAAAAATATAAATAATTTTAGAATGAGAGAGAAGAAAAATATCGAAAATATGAAACATAAAAAAATGTGGAGTGATTGATCAAGAAGCAAATTTCTAAAATCAAGAATCAATATTCAAAGAAGACGAATTATGTACTAGGATTAAAATTAGACCTTGAACTATAAAACCATGTACTTATGATGATTCTCATGTTCTTTTACAAATTAATGAACAAGTTCTAAATGCAAAATAGAGCAAAGATCTTTAGGCATTAGTTTTATGTGATTTGAGTTTGAAATTACTTTATAAAGGCTTTGTAAAGTGAGAGTTGTTTTGAATTGACTTTGTTTTTTTTTAAAAATATAAAAGATTCATACTTTAGAAACTTTTAAAGAATTAGTAGTAAAAGTTTTAGTAAAATTTTATATTTGTGAGATTATAATTCTCTTAAATATATATAATAAGTTTGAATTTGATAAAACAATGCATTTAAGTATAATTGAAATTAAAATATATTAGAATCTTAGAAAATAGAGTTTAAAAGACTAGTGAGAATTTCTAAGATATGCAACATTTCATTGGTTGGATTGAAATAAGATTTTGCGCTCTACTTGAAGACATAACTACATAAAATTTTACAAATTTTTAGAGTAATTTAGCAATAGAATCAAGAGATATTGGCATTAAGATTGAAAAAAAATACCAGCCAACACTTAAGCAGATTATGAAGATCATTTCTTATTTGGTATATTTGATCTTTTTTGAATTATTTATGCTTATTTTCAATTAAGTAATTTATAATTGTACAAATTTTGAATCAAAATCTACGAAAAAATTATTAATAATTGAAGTTTTGATGTAGTATAGGATTTTGCCCAAAATTTATGGTTTTATTAGGATTTGATTAGGATTTGCTTAGGATTAGTTTAAGATTTATTTATTATTTCTATTTTAAATGTTTCTTTAGAATTATTAATTTTAATATTTTTTAAAGTTTATTTATAATTTTTTTCTATTCTTTATAATTTTTTAAAGACTTCTTTTGAATTTGATTATGATTTGATTAGGATTATTAAGATTTAATTAAGATTTATTTAGGATTCTATTAAAGTATTAGAATCTTCTTGTTGCGATTTCCAATTCTCCTTCTATAGCTAAGTGCTTGATGTATTTTTAAGCGAGACTTCATATAATATGATATTATTAAATTAAGTTCAAATTCATAAAATAAATTTAAAAGAAGTAGATGTATAAACCTACAAATTATTACTTATCAATATACTAGAATGTCTTCAAAAAATTTAGATATATAATTTTCTTTTATTTCTCAAAAACATAACGACTTAAAATACCTATCACTTTGAAAATCTCTAAAAAATTTAGAATTAATTCAAAGCACTCAAAATCAATGTTCAACCAAATTTTAGCAAGTTTCATGTCTCATCTTGTTCTTTGATCAATAAATGAACTCCAAATATGTTGTAAGGGTGCAGTTTTGTATATCAAGGTTTGATTTCAATCCAAGTTCATAATTGATCCTCTTTAGATATCAACATCTAATTTTTTTAGGTAATTTTTGTTAGAAGCTATTATTTACTTCTACCTTAAGATGTCCATGATACTAATTTTGCTATTCTAACTTATTTTTGTCTTATTTATGGCCTTATAAAGAAAATAAAAGTTCATTTTGCAAAAAAATAATATTAGCACTTATTAATTTTACTACCTCCTTGACTATTATCTATATTTATAAGATAATTTACTATTATATTATGAAATAAAAACTTCTCTAATATAATGTTTTCTTCTCTCTTTCACCCATTAATTGTGTCATAATACAAAATCATAGCTTAAACTTCTTAAAGATATAAAAAGACAAAATGAAAATAGAATAAGAATTGTAAAAAAATGCTTGAGCTTTTTCTATGGAAACTTATTTGTGCATGAGGGCTCACATAGGACCTTGCCAACACCAAAGATTTTATTGATCACAATAAATAAAAACACCAAAAATACCAAAGTTGATTTTGAACTTGCTAAGGCAAATAGAAATCATTTCTAACAACTAGAAGAAAAAATATAAGTGGAACGACCATCATTTGTTTATTTATTTTTTCAATATCATTCTTCTTTGTAGGTCATTAGAACACACCTAGTAAAAGGCGTAGGAACCAGGGAGAGGAATTCTTGATGAGAATATTCGGTAGTGCATGAGTGAGCGTGGCCAGGGGAAGGACGGAGACGGCTACAAAGACGACCAAGTCGTGAGGCGCAGGAGGAAGAGGAAAACGGGGATGCAGTGAACAGCGGAGGGACGGAGGCCAAGCAAGACAGAAGCGTGAGCACAGCAAAGCAAGAGCAGCGGGAGTGGGCCCTGGAATGCGGAGCCAGGGACCGGCTGCGAGAGAGGGAAGGGGAGCGAAGGCCATTGTGACCCAAACCCACCATCGTTGCCCGCGGCCCTCGCGACTCAGTCTCAGTAGCGCTGCGACCACGCATCGCACTTCCTGACATACAACACACTCTCCCTCTCTCGTTGTCTGTGTATCTCTCTCGTCCTCCTCCCTCTTCCCTTCCCCTCTAACCCTAACGTCTTTTTTCCTCCCTTTTCTTCCGTCGTCGACCGCCCTTCGGCACTTTGTCTTGGAGCGAGTCGCCATGACGTCCACCGCGGGTCAGCCCCAGTTCCGCTACACGCAGCCCCCGTCCAAGGTGCTGCACGTGCGCAACTTACCCTGGGAGTGCAGCGAGGAGGAGCTCATTGAGCTGTGCAAGCCGTTCGGCAAAGTGGTCAACACCAAGGTCAATGTCGGGGCTAATCACAACCAAGCGTTTGTGGAGTTTGTGAGTTCTCTGCCTTCTCCTGCTGCTTTAATTTTGATAGAATTTCCTTTTTTTTTTTTTGTGGAAGCGTGTTAATTTGCGTCTTTCTTGTTCTGGTGCTTATTAGGATTTACGGAGAGTACGTGTTTATGTTGTGATTAGCTTTCTGGTGATTTTTTAGGGGTGTAGGGATTGTAGCTCTTATGTTTTGTGGTGTTCGAATTATGCGGCATTCGAAGTAGGTATGGTGTGTTGATTCGGTGGATGCGATCTGCAAATTGGGGACCCTTTTTGATTGCCTGGTAGGGCCATGTGCCATGATTTGATTCCGTTTATTCGGTCAATTGTCGTCTAAGGTCAGAGAGGCTTGCATTGTGTTGAGGATAACTCAAGTTTCATTCACAAGCTGGAGAGTATGCAGTGTAGCGTCGATATTATTGGAGCATTTACGAGGTGTCCGTTCTTGACCTGGCGACAAGAAAGTTTCAGTTCGCTGAAACCTTCCTAATTATGATCCTTAGTATTGATGGAGGTCTGCAGTGTTTGCAATTCACGCATCCCTTGCAATTCGACTTCGGATAGCTCTGGCATCCTGCTCAGTACAGTTAGAGTTTCGTTGTTTTGATGCTCTAATTTTGGTGATGTAGCACGCGCCCCTGGTTTCGGGCCTGTTGTTGTTTCTGTCGTTTCAAGTACTTGCCCGGTCTTCGGTGTGCTCGTTTTGAGTTCTGCTTCAGCATTCGTCTCAGAACTGAAGCTTGTCTTCATTAGTGTCGTCCACGTTGAAGACGCCTAATTCTTGACCTGATTATTGACTTTTACGTAGGCCGATTTGAATCAAGCTATTGCGATGGTATCGTACTATGCTTCATCTTCGGAGCCGGCTCAAGTACGAGGAAAGACGGTGTACCTGCAGTATTCTAACAGGCAAGAAATTGTCACCAGTAAGAACTCTGGGGATGTTGCAAGCAATGTCTTGCTGGTAACGATTGAGGGCGTAGAAGCTGGCGATGTCAGCATTGACGTGTTACACCTTGTAAGTTATTCTATCTCAATTAACTATTGTATAGCCTAAAATTTAGTCGAAAAACGTGGCATGGAGCGGAGTGATAGGGAATACGAGTCTGTTCTGCTCCAACTGAATCGCCATGCCCGCGTACAGGTTTAATGAAACTCAGGTGTCAGGAATGGACCGGTAAGAGATCTACCGATTCCGGTTTCAATTAGATTGTTTCTTACATTTCAGCTTTCTTCATGGGGTTTTGGTGGACACAGTTTGACTTTAATACTACATGGATCAGCAGGTCCATGTGACGGCCACATCGTCGATGGCAGCCTGGTGCATGGGAGAAAGCGCATGTGTGTTTGTTTATCTTTCCCTTGCCTAACCCTGCCTCTCGACCTTTCTCCTCTTAACCCTTAACCCTCTGGCAACTCGAGATTGGTTTATCTCATTTATATTCCCGTAGGATCTCCTTCAGGCCCATTATTCCCGTAACTCACTGGATCCAGTAGTTGGATTTTACCTCCTCGAAACTGGCTGACCAAAGTCGCTTTGTTTCACTCCCTCAAATTCATTAGTCCCCCTCTTAATCATCAAGTTGTAAGGCTTTCATGCGGGTGATATCCATTCATTTGAGGTGTCCTTTAGTCTCTTTTCGTGAGTGACTGACTTAAGGTGTCTCTCGCATTACGGGTTTTCTAGTGTGTAATGCCTGTAGCATTGATCTGTTTGTTTGAAACACACGGTTCACTGTGTGGTTGGGTTTGTCAGTTGTCTCAATTAGTAGGAGGCTTCGTCTTCAACCTGGTGTCCTTATCTGTTTTGGCGTTAGTGTACATCTTATTACAGGGTTGCTCATTATTGTTATGCTCTTTTATGTGGGGTTCTAGGATTGGTTAAATCTTTGTTATAGAGGATGTTGCAGTTTAAGATTTCTACAACTTGCAGGTTGAATGAATTTAGAAGCACTGTTCGAGCCAACTTGCTGTGTTTGCGTGTATCTCACGATGAACAACCTGTTTGCTGTTGGGTTTCAGAAGTGGTTTCTTGGCCATGTCACTTCTACAAGGGTTTCACCATTACTGACCTGAAGCGTTAGCAACCTCTTCTTATGTACTTCACAAAATTATTGCAGGTGTTTTCTGCCTTTGGCTTTGTCCATAAGATTGCGACCTTTGAGAAAAGCGCTGGCTTCCAGGTGTGTATTATGGTGAGAGTCACTTGGCTTTCACCGAGGTTGGTTGTTGTATCCTAGATTCTAATCCTGTGGTATGGTGTTGGTATAACTCTCAACCTCCTCTCCCCTGTGGTTTCCGCAGCGAATGTCTATTTCTGCAACCATGCTGTTTTAAAACATCCATTTTCTGATTTGTGGTTATGGGGCGTTGGCATTGCAGGCACTTGTACAATTTAGTGATGCCAATACTGCCTCCGCTGCCAAGTCAGCTCTTGAAGGCCGGAGTATTCCCAGGTATAAATATGGCTTCCGGATATCACAAAAGTTTTGCCGCTCTTCGCAGCCCGGGAGAAGCGTGCCTCGGATGTTTCCTGTTGTTGAAATTTTCTTTTGTTTTCGTAACTAAACTTATTAGAGACATCTTTATTAAACCACTCTCAAGTCGTTCTCTTGTCTTTTGTTTTTTTACTGTCTCTTCTCCACAGATATTTGCTGCCTGACCACGTTGGTCCTTGTCACCTGCGAATCTCATTCTCTGCGCACAATGATCTCAACGTGAAGTTCCAAAGTCATCGGAGCAGGTACTGGGCATCGATGATGTCGGCTGCCGGCGTTTTTCAGATCGTCTTCTGGGCGGAGCATATATTTCGCATTTGCAGCGCTCTGAACCGGTGTTTTTTCCCTGTCTGGGCTTGAATAGTTGACGTAGCCTTTCCTTGAAATTAATAGTTTTATTTTTGGTATCAGGGACTACACGAATCCATATCTTCCGGTGGCTCCATCAGCAATTGATGGTAGTGGTCAGGTCAGTAAGAATACCGTTCTCTTTAGTTGCAATGCAATGAATGCTGAACTTCCATGGATTCTTGTCCCTACAACCTTATGAAGTCATTCTCATCATAAGTCGTGTTGCAACAGTTTAGCGTTGGACCTGATGGAAAGAGGAGAGAGCCTGAAAGCAACGTGTTGCTTGTTTCAATTGAAAACATGCAGTACGCTGTAACGATTGATGTCATACACACTGTACGTACATTTATATCTGCTTGTGATATCACCTCTTGCTGTTATCTTTCTAGTCTGTTTCTGGCTACGAACAAGAATCTCACGTATCAATACTATAATGAACGTACTGAAACCTTGCTGTAGACTTGAATCTGATTGTCATTCAGGCTCCTTGCAGAAATGAACATTTTCGTTCTCTGAGCTTTGTGCGCGATGCCATTGTCTTCGCTTAGATTATCAGGATGTTTGTGAGATTGACTGTTTACTCTCTGTAGGTTTTCTCAGCTTTTGGATTCGTTCAGAAAATTGCAATTTTTGAGAAAAGTGCTGGTTTTCAAGCTTTGGTTCAATACCCAGGTACTATAATGCACTTTTCTCATGAACATTATTGATGTTTTTTCAAGGATTAATTAGTGTGAAAAAGAAACGACATTGATGACCACGGTTTCAACTGGTCTGTATTCAACACCTAATCAATAAAGCTTGATGAAAAGTGATCTTAATATTAAAAAGCGGATGGATTTCATGTCAGAAATCAATCGGTATATTTTATTGCATAATTGCAACATCAAAAATGAATTTTAAAAATCTGTTTGAAGTTGCCACTATCATTATTCTTCACAGGAGTGTCAAGAGCTCTGAGATTGTGCTGGATGGTTTATTAGCGGCCTTTTAATATGGTTCTAGCTAGCATCCAACGAGTTTTTGCTTTTTTTCTTCTACAGATATTCCTACTGCAGTTGGAGCAAAAGAAGCACTCGAAGGTCACTGCATTTACGATGGCGGTTTCTGCAAGCTTCATCTATCATACTCTCGGCATACTGATTTAAATGTAAAGGTATTCTCCTTCTTGTAGGTTTGTTGCTAGCCCATGCATGATGACTTCACTATGTGGACAGCATCTAAAATTAAATCGTCTCTGACCTAATCATGTCAGTGGCAACATACATTTTCTTGGCACAGATGCTCCACATGGTCAAGTCATCATGTCGGAAGTCAATAGTTGGTGGGTGACATTTTGAAATATTTATTCTATTGGGACTCTTGGGTTGTGTTCAACAGCCACCAACTATTGACTTCTTTTAGCACTTAATATGGGCTAGCGGAGGTTAGATTGATAACTGCCATTTGCATCGCTGGCAGTTATCAAGGAATTCAATGTCATTAACCGCAGATCTGCGGCAGTATCAGCGTTTCCGTAGATCTTTTGGATGACCAATTGTCTCCTCTAGCCAATGAGAAGAGGGCGAGCAAGCATCTTGGATCCATTTATTTACCTGGCTATCTCCTCTCATTCCGTGAAGTTGGTGAGAAATATCAGTCTCAAGCTCACTTCTAGAACTAGTGATCTATTGCAACGTACGTTTTATTGGATATTTAGTGGTTTATAGTACGAGCTGTCTTGGCTGTCAACGAGAATTGTGGAGCCGCTCTTGCTTTCTCAAATACACTAAAGCTTCAGTGCGATGGTCTTCAAACAAAGCAAAATTTGCACTGAAAGGTATGAGACACTCCTAGTTAGAGGTATAGAACTCCGGCTTCCTGTTGACTGTTTGAATTGGGTTGGTGATGCAGGTCAATAACGATAGAAGTAGAGATTACACTAATCCTGGGCTTCCTCCAACCCAGCCTGCTGTTTTGGGCCAAGCTCCGGGGATTGGTCCTGGCAGTCCTGCTGCAGCTGGCCCTGCTTACCCAACTGCTCCGTATGGGGTTACCCCACCTCCGCAGGACTCGTGTGCTCAGCAGCAGGCATGGGACCCCGAAGGAAGCGCTAAAGCTCAACAGGTTTCTGGTCCGATGCTAGGGCAGCCCATGTCTGGTTCGCAACAGCCTTTGTACACGAGTCATCAGCATGGTGGAGCTGGTGGGCATCCCGTCCATCATGGTCCTGCTGGTGCACCAGGCTCCTTTCAGGGTCCTCATGGTGCTCCTGGTGCGGTGACCTCAATGGGGCCAATGTCAGGGCCACCAATGGGTGCTCCCATGGGACCACCTGGGCACATGGTACCTGGAATGCATCAACAAGGCCAACCGAACCATCACATGGGACCTGGTCATTCCATGCCACCTTACCAACAAATGCACGGAACTGGCCATCAGGGTATGCCTCCTTCAAACGGAGGGCCTGGTGGTTACTACATGTGATTACTCCGCCCTTCCTCAGTGGTTAGTTTCCGTTGACAATAGGTTAGTTTCGACATTTGCTAAAAAGCAGTAGGCTCTTGAATTGCACAAGTTCAGATTAAAGTGTGGCCTTCTGTCACCAGGTTTATTTCACCTGTCTGATCTTGCACCTTAATGTGCAAGGTCCAGAGTAGCGATTAACGACTTCCTGTTTTCTTATAGCCATGTGAAAGCTCTTATGTATCCAATCATTACACGAAATGTCTCTTTTTGAAAGTATCCTGAAAGAGATTTTTGTTTGGATATGATACATATAGCATAAATGTGGTGTTCTGGTTTTCGAGTTACAGATAATAGTGATGGCTTTTTGCCGAAGAGGATCAACGGTTTTCCATATTCTCCTGTGGACGGGTTTGAATCTTAACTGGGAATTGTCTGTTAGAACTGCTCTGTTGGAATTTCACCTTGCTAGATTTCATTACACCAAAGCTTTGATGTCAGGCTTCTAGAGATCCTGTAGACAGTCTAAAGCTCCTAAGTTATCACTCTGTTATTAGATTTTAAAAATAGATTGTGGAATGCAACAAAGCCTGGTATTTTAAAGTTGCACATCAAACAAATTCTTCATTGTGTACAAGTAATGTATTCTTTTTCAAAGATTATTCTTGTATTTTGTTTTTAGCTTAAGACATGGAGATTTGAATGACTTCCTTTTCTTCAAAATTTTAGAAGGTAAAATATCATATATATACTTTGAGTATGTTAAAATATCAAGAATATCTGCGTATTCTTGATAATAGCAAATGTATTCTCAAATATGATAAGGTATCACCAATCTACCAAAGGTGTAGCAATTCTCATAGATTTTGCTACTTTTTTTTGTCTTCATATGGTGCGAGATGAGGTATATTGGAACAATTTTGAGGTAGCGAGTATTTTTAAGAGGAATATGGAAAGGTTCAACTCTACAAAGATAGAAATGTCTCAAGTTTATGAAGCATCCCCTCTTCATAGAGCTATGCCATCTTGCATCAAAGAGGAGCAAAAAGAAAGTCTCAAAGTTGCCATGGTTATAAGAAATGTACAAGTATACACCCAAAAGAAAGGGGTGACAGCATCAAATGTCCTTGTAGTGGAAATTTGTTTGCATAGCTCACAAAGGTTGCATGCTACTAGCATACTTGACAATGATCTCCCTATTTCTAACCTCCTAAAAAAAACTGGTTGTGGAATTTGGGATTGGTTCCAAATCCACAAGCTCAATAGCAAGAATTTCTTAGATCTAACAAGATTAATGTATATGCTTCTAGAATTGAAATTCCCTCAAGGCATTGACAAGACTCACAAAGAGAGCAATGTCTTCCATTGTAGTCAATCTCCTCTCTAAATTTAGATATTAATGCATTGATGCTTATAATTGGCAAGGATGCACACAATAAAGACTTGAGAAGATATATCAAGGACATGAATTTCAAAGAAAGAAATCCTCAATACACTTTTGTGACACTAAAAAGAACTAGAAAGTCATTCAAAGATGATATATTATTGCATTAGAATGACTATTGTCAAAAACAAGGAGACTAGAAAGTCTTGAAACAAGACTAAGGACTAAAAAGGCATTGACAAGAGTGAAGAAGGCTTCACTCTTGCCTCCATATTGTATTATGTAGAATCTTGCTTGAGAATGCATTAGATTGTAGAAGATTAAAAAAAAAATAAATTGCAACAACAAGTCCTAACAACTCTAAAAGAATCATATATAAAATGAAATTAAAGTTTAACAACCACAATCAAACATTGGTTAAGTCCAATTAATTTTTTATAGAAATTATAAAAAAATTACAAAGAAATTCTAAAGAAATTCTAAAGAAATCATAATGAAATAATAAAGAAATATAAAAAAATCCAAAAAAATTCTAAAAATATCTAAAAGAAATCTACAAGAATCTTAAAGAAATTTTTATGAAATCCTAAAGAAATCCAAAATAACCTTAAAGATTTTTTTTTTAAATCCTAAAAAAAATTCTAAATCTTAAACTAATTCTAATCAAATCTTAATCAATATCTAAACAAATCTTAATCAAAAACTAACTAATTCAAATTAATTCTAGGGCAATTTTAGAACCTCAATATCTATTGATTAAATTATTGAACTTATTTAAAACTTTATATATGTCTCAACTTCTTAATTAATAATAAGCACAAAAAATTTAAAAAGAATTAAACTTAAAAAATAGAAGAAAAATGTCATAATCTACTTAGGTGTTAGTTGGTCTCTATTTTTTATCTTAATGTTGATATTTCAATGGTAATTACTCCTAATTGAGCTATTAACTTGCTCTTAAATTTTGCAAAAGTGTTGGAAGTCAAGTTAAATATTAGCACCAATAAAAATCATCTCAATCCAACTTGTAGATTGTTGCACATCTTAAATGATCTTATAAGACCTAAAAATCTAATTTTTGAGACTCTAATCCACTAAAACTTCAATAAACTCTAGTCCAACAGTTTGATTGAGTTCAAATATACAACATTCATTTAAAAAAATTATATTTATTATTCTATAAAATTTCACTTATAGATTTACTTCAAAACTCACAAAATTGTCCAAAATGTAAATCTTATTTTATTTTATAAAATCCAAAGTCATCCAAAACAACCTTAACTTTGCAAAGCTCTTATAAAGTCATTGCAAAATTCAATTATTTGAAACTAATGCTTTAAGAAATCTTATAAAGTCATCTTCTAAATTCTACTCTTTGATTTGCAAAAGATTCCTAAAACTATTGTATGTGAGTGGTTTTATATCTCGAGATTTGATTTCAACCCTAGTTGGTAACCAGTCCTTTCTACATAGCAATTCTTATTTTTTTGAGGTAATTTTTACTGAAATCAACTTCTAACTCTCTTGTACATATATTTATATCCTATATTTTTCTAATCTATCTTTTTTTGCCTTATTTATGGCCCTAAAAAATAAGTAGATTTATACTTTGTAAAAAGGCAATATTTGCATTTTTAGTTTTACTACCTTTTGACTATTATCTATATTTTTAAGATAATTTGCTACAATATTTTTAAATAAGATCTTAAATATATTATTTAATTTTTTTTTTTACCTATTAGTTGTATTATATCATGACAACATGTACACACGTGTCATGGACATATACATTTATCCCAATAGTTACTTATATGATTAGATAGAAGTAAGTAAATATAGATTAATTTTATAAAGTCTTCTAGAAAAGCTTCTTAGAAGCTTTATAGACACGGTTTTGACTTTAGATGTATTTGTAGGATAGAAACTTGGCCAACAAGTTAATCACATATTGGTAGCTTGTGGAATAAGTTAACGCCATATAGTAGCTTGTGGCCCATACATAAATAACTTGCCTTGTAAGTTAAGACATGTAGCTAGCAAAATTAATACATGTTGGAGGTCCTATAGAATATCGCTACATAGTTCTTATTTAGAGAGTATATATGGAAGCAAAAGTGAAGCCTTCTTCACTCTTCTCAATGCCTTTCTAGTCCTTAGTCTTATTTCAAGTCTTTCTAGTCTTCTTGTTTTTGGCAATAGCCATTCTGGTTCAATATTATATCATCTTTGAGTGGCTTTTTAGTTCTTTTTAGTGACACAAGAGAGTATAGAGGATTTTCTTTCTTCGAGATTCATGTCCTTGATAACTTGTACCTTGAAATTTAGAATAAATAACTTGCAACATAGATTATGAAGACCAATGCCCTTGTCTAGGTGGCATTAATAGATAGATTGCAAATTTGCTCAATTATTAAAAAGAAAACATTTATCATCTGTAAGACATCCAGATTTTAGAAAACATGTAATTTGAAGAATGCAAGCTTTATAGTAGAAAAAGCATTGCTTCAATTAGGCAATGTAATACTTTTTTAGATGCCAAGAATTTATAAGGCAAAAATTGCAAGACAAAATGCCAAAAAGGTAAGCAAAGATCCAACTACATGATATATTATAAAGATATGTAGTTTAGATTTTATATAAAGACAAAAAAAAAAAATTGAATCGATGAAAATTACTACACTTTTGTTAGATTGGTGATATTCTATCATATTTGACGACACATTTGTTATTATCAAAAACACCAAGGATACATTTTTTATTATATAAAATACTCATGCATTCTTGATATTTTAGCATACTTCAGAAATATGTATGAGATATTTTTTTATTTTAAAATGAATAGAAAATGAGAGTTCAATTTTATTTTATTCAAGTTCTATTTTTCAATCATTTAAAATGACATATCAATGAATGGAGCTAAATGACTTTGAAGAGGTAGATTGTGCTCCTTGACACTTCTAAGCATCACAAAGATCATTGTATTATTTCTCCAAAATCTACTATTTTACTTCTTGTTTTAATTGTTGTTCATTAACAATCTCATCTTTTACTCATGTAAGATTCAAATTAATACAAGTATCAACACCTAACATAGGCGGTTATAAATATATGACTTAACTTAAAGAATAATGCTCATCCTTTGAATTGCTAGAAATTCATTGAAATAACCATATTCTTGTACTCTGTACTATTTTTGATTTTTTTTAATATTTAATATAATATGATTTATTCTTATTTACTATTTTTAAATTTTTAAATTATTTATTTTTTAAAAATAAATTATTTTATTTTATTGTAATTTTAAAATAAAATTTATATGGATTTGAATGTAAAAATATATTAAATATACTTTGATATTTTTTCCTATTGTTTTAATATACGGAGAATAATTTTAAAAATTAGGAAAATATAGAAATATTATATTTAATATTAATTGTAAGTATTTATAAGATGTAAGTTAGAACATTTATAACAATGAGTATTTTATATTTTGATGCTAATATTGCATGTTATATATTCATATAGTGTAATTTTAAAATGTTTCTTGAAAATCAAACTTTATATGTATTATTATACTTGATATGTTTATAATATACTTAACTAAATTATATTATATAAAATATATATTTTATATATATTTATAAAAATTGAGTATTATTGTATATATAATTAAATAATATTTTAGAGGCTATAAGATTATTAATGATAAAAAAAGATAAATATTTTTAGTACAATTAAGCATAGTACTAAAATTAATATTAAATTAGGACTAAATTAAAAATATGATGTCTTAAAATTCTATTATAATTTTCTTATGTATTATCATATTATTTTAGTAACATATTATCATAAAACTTATAGAAAAAAATATGATTTTTTATATCATTATATTTTAACTTATTATTTCTATTAAAGAAAAAACCATAGATGAGCCTTGGATATCTCAATATAAAATTAGATGAAATAATAATGAGCTTATAAATTAATTTTTGGCCAATTTCATGTAGAAAAT